AAATTTTTTTAGTATAAACATTTCTTGGTTTCTAATAACTTAGATTTCATTATATATTTCCTTTATTTCAAAAACAAGGGGAGAAATTCCATTTACAAGAAGTGAAATACATCTGACAAAAACCAGTGATACCACTTGGATGAGATGATAGCTGTAAATCATAGAGATCAAAGTTCATTAGGGTTATCAGAGTCTGGGACATAGGGAGAATGGGCAACTGTCGCTTAAGTAACACTGAATTTCCATTTGGGTCGATGAAAAACTTTTGGAAATGGACAGTTGCAATGTTTGTATAACACTGTTAATGTAATTCTGCAATACGGTACATACATTTAACATGGCTAAAATGATGCAATTTTTGATATGTATAATACAGAAAAAAGTAATGGTTAATCTATGACTTTATTTTGTAAACAATGAAACACACTTTGTGGTGTTTTTCCTATTTTAATAAAGAAAAGTGTAGTTTTCTTTAAAGAAATTTTAACCCTGAACTAGAAATTAACTTGAAAATTTCAAATTAGTATGACTCATTTTTTTCTATGTGATAATCATTTAACACCGATAGGTCATTACAGTTGGACTGGCTACTAATTTTATTTGCTGTCACATTATCTACCATGGACAGACTTTTGTTAGGTTCAACACATTTCAGTGTTAACTATTTTTACTTGACAAGGAGATATCTAATCCTGATTCCTTTGGAGGTTCACTTGTATTTTTTTATTTTGTAGGATTAAAGGAGGAATCTGCAGCCTTGAAATTCATTTAAGTGACCTGTCGGGATGGGCGTTTGCCTGACCTACTTTATAGAGGTATTCCAATGTTATTTATATTTAATTTTTAGTCACAGCAGGCAAAATGCTCAAATACTTGAATGTGAACACACAATACTTTGAGTCAGGTGGCATTTACTACACAGTCCTTTCCCCCTTTATGCCCACCTATGTACAGCATGAATAACCCTGGTAGGTGGTGCTTTAGGCATTGACTGCGAACCACAAGGTCAGCAGTTCACATTTACCAGCTACTCTTCGGGAGAAAGATGAGGCTGTTTGTTCCTGTAAAGACATACAGTCTTGGAAACCTAGATAGGGTCACTTTGAGTTGGAATCAACTCAATAGTGGGTTTGGTTTAGGTTTTATATATGGCATGGCTCACATGTATAAATAGCACGTTGCTGGTTGCCTGTGAGTCTGTTCTTACTAATGGGACACCCTCACGTGTGCTCAGTAGAGCTGTTCCAGAGGGTTTTCAAGGCAGTTACATTTCTGAGGCAGATTGCAAGGGTGGAATACACCCAGCCTCTCAGGCAGACTTGATTTAGATCAGTGGTTCTCAACCTGTGTGTCGCGACCCCCTGGGGGTCGAACGACCGTTTCACAGGGGTCCTCCGATTCATAACAGTAGCAAAATGACAGTTATGAAGTAGCAATGAAATAATTCTATGGTTGGGGGGGGTCCCACAACATGAGGAAAATAATTTTATGGCCTGGGGGTCACAACATAAGGGTCGTGGCATTAGGAAGGTTGAGAAGCACTGATTTAGATGATTCAGAAAATGAGATTTTGGAGTTAGAAATGATGTTGGACTGTGTTAAGACTTTTGGGATGGTGGTATGGTATTTGTTTTACATGTGGGAAGGGCATGAATTGTGGATGGCCAAAATGTAGAATATTGTGGATTGAAATTGTATTCCCCCTAAAATAGATCTTGGATGTAATAGTATTTGGGAACAGCATTTTCTTTGTTATGTTAATGAGATCCCAAGAGTTGGTTTGGCAAGGAAGCACTGATAAGGCAAGACAAGCTGCCACGCCATGTGACGGTCACCAAGGAATTAGACTGGAGGTAGGAAAGGGACAAAGGACCTTCCTCCAGAGCCTTCCTTAGAGCAGGTACCCTGATTTCAGAATTCTCACCTCACATCTGTGAGGAATCTCTAATCTTTCAGAGTAGCCGAGTGCTTGTGACACTAAGGGACACATGAATAGCATAGTGCCACCATAGATAGATAGGTAAGGACATTTGTGCATTGTCACAAGTTAATGTCTCCGTGTAGAGTCCATTGTATTCCCTCACTTGACTGGATCACTTGCAGCTTACTTTGTAGGCCCTAGTTAGGAAGGCAGGTGATGTCTCCTTCTGGGCCTGTCTTGGTGCAGGTATTAAAACTGCCTGTAGATTTCAAATAACGTGGAAGAAAAAGCTACTCATCAAGGTATTCATCTGTCTGTCAGTGGCTTATCCTTTGGTAAATTAGTGATCATAAAATTCCTGAAGCTTCTCAGTGATTTTATTGCTTTTAGAATTTTTATATAACTGAAGATGTAAAATCAGTAGCAGTTTTAGTGATTTATGTTAGGATTTCCT